TGGTCGTGCAGCGGGATGCAGGCGCCGCTCCGCAGCAGGAACACGCCCATGCTGAAGCTCTCCGTCTCGCAGATGTGCATGTAGCTGACGGGCGGCACCACGCCGGCCCAAGGCGGACCCCCGCCCGCCGCCGCCGCCGCGGCCGACGGGCCCCGCGGCGCCAGGTGCAAGTCCTCGGCGCGCACCTCGTCCAGCAGCTGCTGCAGGCGGTGCAGGTTCTCGCCGAAGGCCGGGCCCGCCGGGCTGCGGAAGGTGAGGCGCGCCTGCCGCGCCACCCGCTGGATCAGGGAGGCCATGTTGTCCCGGGGCATGGCGGCGGCGCCTCGGCCCGGCCCGGCCGCGGCGGGCGGGACCCGGCAGAGCTTCCGCCCCCGCCCCCGGGCGGCCGCGCAGCCGCCGCGCCGCGGGGCACCACGGGCAGCGTAGGCCGGGCCGGGAGGGAGGAGCGAGCGCACGGCAGGACGAGAAGGGCGGTGGAGGTGAGAGCTGTGGGGCGGCCGCCGCTCAGCGCCGCGGGCTGAGGGGAGACGGTGGGGGCCGAGGGTTCTCGCTGCCAGTGCCCGAGCAGGGGCACGGCCGGCGCGGGGGCTGCGCTGGGCTCGGGGAAGCCGCGGGGATCAGTTTCCCCCACGGTGCCGCGTGCTTCCTCCCGCCGTGGGAAGGGCGAGAAGGCGCAGGAGCACCCTATGGCTCGGCTGGTAGTTAAGCTGTGTCAAACTGAGCGGGATAGCGCGAATGCGGTGTCACGGACGGGCGGCGACTGCAGGAACAACTTACTTTTTTATCGCTGGCTGCTTGGTAGAGCCAAGCCATTTGGGCAAACTTAGCGGATCCCAGCGCTCGGGCACAGCCTCTCCCGTCAGTGCTGGGTCCAGGTCGGGCTGCGCGGGGTGCGCTGTCCCGCACTCATCTCCTTGTGGTCCCGTGTGAGTGGGATTGTGCCTGAACTCGTTGTCTTTAACCGCAGATGAACCGACGAGCACATGGAGTTCCAGATGCTGGTCCTCAGAGAATCCACGTGTGGCAGAAAGGATGGATAATCTTCTGGCTTGGTTCCAGCCTGGTGGAGCCTGCGTGTGGTTGTTTCAGGCTAATGTACACAAAGGGTACAGCATTTATTCTGCCAGGGCATTACATGCAACATTTTATTTAATTCATATACCTATTGACCTATTATCTTCTTTCAAATTGGCGTGACTGTGCAGAGCAAATCACGCCAAGAAAATCCTTATCCTTGAAGTCGGAAATTGACCTGTTAGCGCTGAGATTTGGTAAACAAAGTTAGACTCTCCTCACAGAAATAGGCAGGCTCATACCACCTTGAGTTCAATTACTTGAGTGAGTCTGCAGCACGTAAGTACCATGTAGGTCTAGGTCCCGCTGGTTAGGATTCTGAAAAACAGCTGAATGATAATATGTAATCAAATATGACCGCAGGGGCTGCAGCCTACCAAGTTAAAAGATTTCATTTCAAAACAAGGTAAACCATTGTGCCTTCTTGATTAAAGGCAAACTCAAGTCTTAAGATAGGCATTAAACTTTAGTAAGAGATATGTGGCCTTACAGTGTTCTTACACACTATCATAGAATGATTTCCATTGGAAGGGATCTTAAAGATCATCTAAGTCTTGGAATACGCCCATGGGCAGGGATGCTACCCACTAGATCAGGTTGCTCAGGACCCCATCTAACCTGGCCTTGAACACTGTCAGAGATGGGGCATCCACAGCTCTGGGAAACCTGTTCCAGTGTCTCACCACCCTCATATGAATCATAAATACTGTACATCAATCAGAAATACAGGTGTTATGGGCATGGGATGGCCCTGTAGAGGATGAAATATTGATACTATAAACAAAGATTGGTGACTTGGATTTATCTTCCAATCCTATTTCCTGCCCTCCGTAAATAACTTTGGTGCACGGGATGCAAATTCAGGTCATGGCATCATTGCTTCCTCTCCGCGGAGAAGGATGTTCATTCCACTTGCTGCTTTCAAGTTCTGTCTGAAGCTACAAACCATTGCAGTCTTCAGCTGTTTCATGTTCACATCCTGATAAGTCTGTCCTGTGCCAGTGTTGGGAGCTCAGGTGAAGATGCTTAAAATGAGGGAGCATCATCCTGAGTGGAGAGGCAGGGTCTTTAATGGCCTGTGAGCCTTTCTGTGTTGGAGTGAACTGCCAAGGACACCGACAGTCTCAGTTGCTGCTCAAGCTACTGCCTTGGGTGGCAACTGGCAGATATGGAAGGCTCCATGTGAGCTCTTCTATTCAGTCCCCTTCCACAGGGACTAACTGTGGAGGTGTGGACTGGAATTTTTGGCGGTTACCGTTAACAGTGATGATGATAAATTCTCTGTCGGCTGTCCGTTTGTGTCCTGCCTCAGCAATTGCACTTTGCTTGTGAGGGAATGCTCACTTTTGAACACACTGGTTCTTTCTCTATGCAGCACAAAAATAGACCATTTTGTGGAAACAAATGATTGGTATTTGTAGTATGTTGCATTGTGTGCTTGGAGTAACATGCAATTGTAGGAAAGATCAGCACGGAAAAGCAGAATCCTGAGTCTGAGCTCAGCGTGATCTTGACTTGCTGAGTGGTATTAGGTGAGTTACTTGACCCTTTCAGTGCTTATCACTCTGTAAACCATGAATCACACGTCTTGTGTACAAGGACATTTATTAAGATTTTAAAAACATCTTTATGTGGATGATCCTGGTGCCATGTTAAACTGGTGATGAAGTGTGTATTTTTCATAATTGATCACCTTATGATCCTCAGTGTTTTTAACTACTCTATTGATTGCCATTTCTAACAGATACAGACAAAAATAAGTCCTTGGCACTTAACGTTCCAGTTGAATGCTATATCACACCCACATCTTTTCAGTGCAGTAATATTCAAATAAACCCACAAACCAATCTCAACAGAAAAGCAAGCTGTCCAGCCAACTGACAATTAAATTGACATGTTTTTTTCTTCTGAAAGACCATATTCTTAGGTGGCCTCCATCATCTTGAGCAGATGTGAAAAAAAAAAATCACAGTGTAGTTGGCTGGGCTTTAAGGCTGCATTGTGTCGGTGACGCAACGACCAAAGTTCAGCCCAGAGGTTTTGCGATACAACCAGTGAGAGGGAGGTCAGATTCAGGTTATGGTTTTGGTCTCCTGCTGTGTTTGTTTTTTTTCCCCACACACGGAAAGAGGACGTGGTGAGAGGTGCCACAGCTATTTTCTTCTGCCCAACCCCACTATTTCCAGCCTCCTCCCCTTTCTACTGTGGATAGCTTCTTGCTTCTTTATTGCTGTTAGGTATTACAGCTCCCCCCAAGTCTGTGAAATATCCCTTGCTCATTTTCATTCTCTTCTGGGGGCTGCTTCTTGTATCCTTTTATTTCGTTTTGAGGTATTAGAATTCCCTGTAACTATCAGATAAAACAACAGTGTGCAGTGGACAGAAATTACAGCCACTTGTATAGAAGGTCAGTTGTTGGCTGCTGTTAAATCTTGTGTCACAGTGCCAGGATATTTTACAAGGTGTAGAGCTTGGACAGGCAGTGCAGAAACCATCCTCCATTATAATGTTGCCAACAGCTGCAGATGTGTTTACACAGGACAAAACCCAAGAATCTTTGTCAAAGAACATCTTTTTTGCACTGTTCCTGCCACTGGCTCTGCAAGGGTGTATGTTTTAATTTTTTTATAGCTACCACCAGTCAAGGAGCTGGATATGAACACTAGCCAAACGTGACTCAGATGAGAACAGGACTAAAAACAGAGAAGACAAACAACATGTCTGTACTATTTGCTGGCTCTCCAGTAATGGCTTACGTAAAAGATAAGTTGGTTATCAATTATTCATCAGAGAATTTATGTATCAGTAGAAACACAGGGGAGTGCTAGATATAACTGTACTGAAATCAGAAGGGGATTTGGGTTCGTATATACACCAAAAATCAAGCAGGTCTATGTAACATTAAGACTCCCACCCACCTTTACCACTTTACTGACACACATCCTGTATTCCATTAACTGTTGGAGCAAGTCCAAAGGAGGCCACCAGGATGAATAGACGGATGGAGTACCTCTCCTACAGGGAAAGGCTGAGAGAAATGGGTTTGTTCAACTTGGAAAAGGGATGGCTTAGGGATGACCTTATTGTGGCCTTCCAGTACCTGAATGGAGGCTACAAGAAAGATGGAGAGGGACTTTTTACAAGAGCATTTAGTGACAGGACAGGGGGGAATGGATTCAAACTGAAAATAGGTTTAGAGTAGATACTATCAAAAAAACCTTTCCTGTGAGGATGGTGAGGCACTGGCACAGGCTGCCCCGGGAAGCTGTGGCTGCCTCATCCCTGGCAGTGTTCAAGGCTGGGTGGGGCTTTCAGCAGCCTGGTCTAGTGAAAGGTGCCCCTGTCCATGGCAGGGCGGTTGGAATGAGGGGTAGATGAACTTTAAAGTCACTTCCAGCCCAGGCCATTCTGTCGTTCTATGGACCACATAATTCACCCCTTGCTGCGCTCTTTATTTGTTGTAACTCCTCAGTTAAATACACTATTTCTATATAAAGCACATCATTAATGAGTTTTATTGACAGTTTGCTACTGAACAGCCTAGAGCAGGAGTTGGAGTGACTCAGAGTAGGAAAGGCTGTGCAGCATGCAACTCCCTGTGCATAAATTTGCAGAGATAATGAGCCTCATTCTGATCATCTGAGTTCAGCTCCACTGATTTCATGATCTCCACTGGTGCAAATCAGATCTGTGCTGCTCTCTCTGACACCACTCAGGTTAGACTGTGGTGGTGGGTGCTGTGAGTTATCCCCAGTCTTTCTCCTGAACTCGCTGACTGACTGGGTCCGATCCCGGATGAGATGAAGGAGGCATTTACTAGCATGGTTGGAAACTGCCCTCCCTTCATGCCCTCCCTTCTTGCCCTCCCTTCTTGGTATGCAGTTTGCAGGAAGGTATCTCTGCCCAGATCCACTTTGGTAATGTCAGTCTTAGCCCCAGCAGCTGAGGAGCCACTGTCACCAGTTCTATGCAGTGGTGGCAAAAAATAGAGAAATCCCCTTATGGTTGTGGAAAGAGTTATTATTTGACTTGTCTAGGTTTTTCACGTCTCTTTAATGTTTTCTAGCGATAGTCTGATTATATAATATGGAAAAAAATATGACCTTTATGTCTTAAACTTAAAAATATATTCAAGAATGTTGTTGAAGTGTCCACAATCCTGTGTGCTCAGCTACAGGAAGGAAGGTAAAAAAAAAAGAGGGTTTTTTTTTGATGATTACTGAGATGAAAGAAACCCACAGCTCAATTTGCAAGTGTAATTCTGAGTACACAAAAAGCTGTATTGTCACTCTTTCTTATTATTGGCATAACTTTCAAAATAAAAATCAACAGTCATGCATATGGATACTATGTTATAAAGAATGTAACTGGAAAGAAATGGGAATCATTGGTTAAGCTGGTTAATCTTACAGCATATGGAACACTGTAATTTGGATCTTCACTTTGAGTCTTTTAACTGGCAGCAAGGACGCAGTTAAAGATGTGATATGTTTACTTGTGATTTCTTCCCTACGTATCTTTATCTCTGGTTGTATTCAAATAGTTTCATATTTGATTGGTATTTTACATAGGTGCATTCAAAAGCAGAAAAACTCATATAAGTAATTTATCATTTTATTGGTACTACTGTTAATTGAAATGGTGACACTATCTGCTGGTAAAGTTGAAATCTGTTTCCTGGGATAGTTGGTACAGGGTGAAGGTCACGCTTGGCTGTAGTCCTGATTCTTTTGTTAGCAGGAGGGGTTTGTCTCCTTGGGAGCTCCTGGCTTGTGGTGAGGTGGAGTGCCCAGTGTCCATCTGGCTGTTGTGGGCAGTGAGTGGGAGGTGCTGTGTCACACACCCCTGCTGCTCCACGTGTGCCAGGAGGAGACACTGCTGCCAGGGATCACTACCGCTGGCACTGGGCAGGATTTTGGGCTCAGGGCATGGCCCTACACCATTTTTGAAACCAGTTCCCTGTACCTTTGAGTTTGGTCACTGACTGCTCAACCCATAAGGCCCCTCTGGCCTCTATTACATCAGTGTCGAACTCCACGTGGGTTTGTTACTTTTTTAGAGAATCCCGAGGGTCCCATTTGGCTGTTCAGTGGGAGAGTGGAGGGTGGGAGACAGCTTGTAAGGTCACCTCTGCTGGGAAGCAGCTCCCGTGGCCTCCAGCCCTCCCCTCAGCAGCTGGCTTTCCAATGGCAAGGAAAGGTTTGTTGAGATGACCCAGGGGAAAGGCCTGTGTAGTGTCCGAAGACTCTACAGAATCCTTGTGCTGGGCAGTGACAGGAAAGCTACTCCCCTGCAGGGAAAGCTTGTGTTTCTGTGCTGGTCTGTTCTCCCATTATCACTGACCTCAGGGCCATGTTTACCTTTGTCCGGTGTGTGATAGGTGTGGGATGTGGGCGTATGTCCAGGGTAGGGTGTGACTGCTCTCTCGGAGCCTGAGGGTTGGCCGTGGGTAGCAGGAGATCACTCGCTAACTCTGGGGTCCCAGAGGGTGTGAGCTGTGGCTCTGCCACCGCTTGTGCTAAGCCAAGCATGATCACACACCAGTTCTGGGACAATCTTACCTGCAAAGGTACAAAGCAATCCTATTTCAGTGGCTTCAAGAAGTACTGCTGTGCCACTGAGTCACTGCAACCTGCTTGCTGCTCACTCATAGCCTTCCCTCACTGCCAAAAACACCTCAGCACAGACTATCTTCAAGCTAAGCCTTACTTCTTCATAATCAGGAGTGAGGACTGGGTATGGTTGTCACACAGGTGATGACATGTAACAGGGAAGCCTTAGTAACTTGGTTGCCCATGGTTGTACATGTAACACAGTATTTAAGGAATCTCTTTTTCAGCAAGAGAGAGCTATTTAATTTCTTAATGGTCTGGGATCAAATTTATCCCAGTGAGGATCTATACAAGGCTAATCAATAATGCCAAATTTAAGAAGGAAAGAATAGCCAGGGAACATTTTTCTATTTTAAATACATAATATATATGTTATTTTTCAAGGAAAGACAGAGCGTTCAGCAGCAAAAGAGGTGAATGGTAAAATTTAGTGGGTAAGGTATTTAGTGGCACAGAGAAATTTCTTTCCATGTTTTCAGATGTTTGTAATGTTTAGGTTAATTGGTAAATCCAATACAATATTTCTTTGTCCCATAGGTCCATATTAAACAAGGCAAGGGGCAAACAGGGAAGTTTGATTCCATTACACACAGCTGCAGATGAACAACTATTAAATGGGACATACAAAGGCCTTTGGAAAATCAGTGTTGTATGTAGGATGGGTTTTGAAGTGTGGATTGAAATGATGATACAAAAATTTTAGTTTCTTTAAAAGTGAAGAAAGTAATTTTAGTGGCGTGTTTGAGGACAAAGTGACAGATCACAATTCTGGAACCAACAAATCCTTGCCAGAGCCCTAGATGTGACCTTGGCTGTTTGTGCTCCAGTGCTCAGAGTATTTACCTGACCACATGTTCTTTTTGGGATAGAATTATATTCTTGTCAGTAACATCACTTCTGCATGGGTATAACTTCTCTGA